GGAGTGTCATCCACAAGCCACGTTCTAGCATGTTCACTAAAATGAATTCCTAGGTGTCTTACTCCCTGTACAAAGTACCAGTTTATTTTATTTGTACTCCAAGTGGAGGGAGTGGCCGCCAGTCGTGCTGGACAATTCTTCCCTCCCCAGCTCCATTTCATAAGTTTGGTTTAGTTTGGTTTACAGCCTTGCTTGGCCTTTGCCTTTCCAGATCAAAAGACAGAATTGCTTCATTCTTTCCCAGTAAGAAAAGTGTTCAGTTAAAATTTTCATAATTGTTCTTCTATGTCTTTCCTCAGTCCGTTATAGCTTTTTGGAGTCACAGAAGTCAAAATCGCCTGCAGCGTTACAGGTGCAAAAAGTCTCGCATAAGCAAAGGCTGACGAAAGCACTTGGCAAGTCAAGTTACTTGGAAGAGAAAAACAAAACCAAACCCAAGCATATAAAAAGCCACACTGAGAAACCACCCTACACATATCAGGATGGCTGCTATAAAACAACCAAAAATCAAAATAACAAGTGTTGATGGAGATGTGGAGAAACGTTAACATTTGTGCATGGCTGGAGGGAATGTAAAATGGTGCTGTTGCTATCGATAAAAGTAAAATGGTCTCTCAAAAAATTAAAAATAAAATTACTCAAGGGCTGTGGCTCAGTGATAGAGTGCCTGCCTGGGTTGGATCCTCGTCAGCACATAAAAGTAAATAAATAAAATAGAGGTATTGTGTCCATCTACAACTAAAAATTTTTAAAAAATGAAATTAATATGTGACTCAGCAATTCCACTTCTGGGTAGACCTTTCCTTTGCAAAAGAGAACTGAAAGCAAGCTCTTGAAGGTGTTTGTACACCTGTGTTCATAGCAGCATTATTCTCAATGGCCAAAAGGAGGAAGCAACTCAAGTTTCCAACTAAATGATGTGTGAGCAAAATATGGTACATGTTGTACACACACAAAGAAACACTTTGGTCTTAGGAAGGAAGGGAATTCTGACACGTCACAACATGAATGGGTCTAGACATTATACTGTGTGGGATAAGATAGTTACAAAAAGACAAATATCGGATGCTCTCACTTATGTAAGATACCTAGAGTACTAAAATTCACCGAGCCACAAAGTAGAATGGTGATTATTGGGGCCTAGGGTGGGGACAAAAGGGAGGTCTTGTTTAATGGATGTAGAATTTCAGCTTTGATGATGAAAAGAGTTCTGGAGATTGGTTGCATAGTAACACTACTGGCTGCTCTTAACAGTACAGAATGCTACACTTAGAAAATGGTAAAAATGACAAAAATTTAAAACAACCAAAATGCAAAGCAATGGATGCAAAAAGGATTATGGGCATATTAAAAAAAGATGGGCAAAGGTCTCCATCAAGTGCTATCTACTACCAAAAGCATGATTTTTTGTGCTGAAAAATCTTTTTTTTTTTCTTTTGTACTAGAAATTAAACTTGTAACACTTAACCACAGAGTCACATCCCCAGACCTTTTTTTTTTTTTTTTTGTATTTTTTTACTTAGAGTCAGAGTCTCACTGAGTTGCTTAGACTGAGTCACTAAGTTGCTGAGGCTGGCTTTGAACTTGTGATCCTCCTGTTTCTGCCTCTTGAGCTGTTGGGGAACAGGTGTGCACCACCATGCCAGACCCTGAGAAGTCTTTCCTGAACTTTGCACCCATGGTTTGCTATGTTACATCTTCTTATGCCAGTGAGGAAATAAGGCCCATCTGACATTCTGTTATCTCTCTCCCACAGCCTAGAGCATTATTATATATTTACAGGTTGTTTTTAGGAAGGGCTCACTGAATGCTTGTTGATGGACTAGTTGATGTAAAGGAAAGTAGCCAAATACATAGCCATGACGACTTGGACCTCATATAGGACCTGGATTCGCTATTTACTAGCTCTTCCCAAGCTACTTGACTTCTCTAAGGCTCATGTATAAATTGAGGAAAGAGTAACTACTTCATAGAGGAATTAGAAAAGATTAAATGAGCTAATGCATAGTGTGCTATCTGGCTAGAAAATCAAGGAAGGAGGTAAAGTCAAGTGTGTAGGAAACACCCGAGTTGACTGAAGCAGGTTTACAACCTTTTACCATTATATCCACATGTACCAACAGAAGCCATTTTACTCAGTAAATATTTACTGAATAAATGTGATCTATAAGACAAGGCTAAAAACCTGAATTGTATTTTAAAATAAATTTATCAAATAGCTCCTTGGTTTATTTTAAAGACAGTGCTGTGTGTTGAAGAGGTAAAGAGTGATGGATACCTTCTTCATTCCTGAAAATTGTGTTAGCTTTTTCAGGCCCCTGTGAGTCTGTGCCAAGTTTCTTTAGCACTTACATGTTCCTAGTATAGTCTTACATGGAGACTGCAACAACAACAACAAAAAACCCTGCCTGTGGGAGACCAAAAACTTGCACTTGACTGAGTCACACTCCCCATCTGGGTGCTGAGGCGCTCAGTCACAGAAATGTGGCACAGCTTTCCCCACCCTTCTTGGGTTCGAGGGTTGGTGTCTCCTGCATGGGTGTGTCTTGCTACAGCCCCATGGGTGAAGCTATGCTCACCTGTCCCTTTGTAATATAACCCCTTGCCCTGTTTAGGATAGAATCTTCCATGGAAGTGCCTTGTGTGTGTCCCCTTCTCTTACTGTGCCCTTGGGTGTGGCCTACCCAGGTGTCAGTCAACCTGCTGACAGTGGACATCATGAAGATAGACTCAGCCCCCTGAAACCTGACCCCTTGCCTCATTTGAATAGCTTCTCCTCAATAAAAGGGGTCAGCGCATGCTCTCGCTCTCTCTCTTTCTGTGGACCCTTAAGGTCAGAGGAGCCGTCACAGCGACCCCAAAGACAAAGGTATTGTGTCTCTTGTGTGGTTATTTTGTGCAGCCCAGTCAGCCCAGTTCAACTGGAGTGACCCCTGAGCCTTTTCGTCTCAAAAACAGAAACCCCGGCACCTGCCCTCTAGTGACTCTAAGCCAAATGGAAGGGACAGACATGGAAGATGATGAAGAAGGACCATGCCGGAGGCATGTCCAAGGGGCATCAAAACCACCCTCCCCTTTAGCAGGGTCCCTCCCTAAAGGGGAGGGTGGTTTTGATGCACGGACACTATACCAGAAACGGAGGCACCTGAACTGTGTCATGAAGAACAGAGTTTCTCCACCTGTAAAGGCAGCAGGGGCAAGGTGCACCAGGGACAGAGGTGAGAAATGAAGCCACCAGACATCTTCAGGGAAGTGAAAGTTGCTCCATGAAGCACAGAATGAAATGGTAGGGGGAGACCCTTAGAAACAGCAGGGGATGGATATAGCCCAGAACTCATTGGCCTGCAGAAGAGAGAGAGACTGACTTCCCTTGGCAAAGCAGAACCAGAAAGGAGACTTGATCAGATACTCTCAACGGGGTGAAGACTGGGCCAAGACTGGGGAGGACAGAGGCCAGGTCATCAGCCAGCAAGGGCAAAACTGGGGCCAAGGGGAGCCTCCACTAATCTCAGCTGCAGTGAAAGGAATGGATGGGAGAGATGTTAAGGAAGCAGAAACCAGATGAGCGTCGTGCATTTCCTCGCTCCATAAGTGAAGGAGAACGTCGAAGCCAACAGCCTCATACATTCTAAAGTTGGATGTACAAGACCTTTTCATTTTGGTATGTCATCTAAAAAATCAAAACTCTATTATTATTAATTATTAAAAAAAAAACTTGAGAGAGCAGACAGCAAACTGACAATTTTCAACAATTTTGTCCCCTGCTGGCTTTTAGTGCATCTGCTTCCAGTTGAATCTCGGGAGTTAACTTTGTTGAGATTTCATGGGTTGGTTTCAAACTGGAAATCAAAGTCTCCACCCATGCAGATCAAGTTCTAGCATGAAGGTATCCTTAAGAACCCGGGTCCAAAGTCCTCTGCTGACACCATGTCTGAAAGATGTTACCCATGGTCAGGTTGAATGTGATGGGTAAGCACAGCTGAGTGATGCCCCACAGTAAGCATCTAGGGTTGGTCTAGGAATGGAAATGAGAAGTTCTGGTGACAAGCTGAGGAGCAGCTTTTTATCTATCTTAGGGTACCCTGGAAGATCTTGGTCATAGGACTATGGACAAGACCTTAGAGCTGGACCATTAAAGGAGGCCTAAAACCCAAGCATGGTGGTACACACCTGTAATCCTAGCCCCTTGGGAGGCTGAGGCAGGAGGATTGCAAGTTTGAGGCCAGCCTTGTCAACTTAGCAAGGCCTTAAGCAACTTAGTAAGACACTAAAATAAAAAGTCTCAATATAAATAGCAAACTGGACTGGGGATGTTGCTTAATGGTAAAGTGTCCCCAGGCCAAATTCAATACCAATTAAATAAATAAATAAGGCAAGAAGACAAGAAAATCAATCAGAAGATAAGTTTAAATTGCTAGATTTTGGCACACTTTCCCAGGTGGGCTAATTCTAAAAGAACTATCCGTAAAGCAGTAATAAGTGAATTACTTCAAGGATATGTAGAACATGGTACATTTCAATTACTTAATAATTACTGTAACAAGCTGTGAATAAGTAATTCCACTCTCAAAACAATAACCATTGAAAGTTCCTTTAGGATCAATCTATTTTCATAGACATTGCAGCTATTGCCAGAACTCGAATTCTCTTTCAAACAACTTTGCCCAGATATTTTATAAATTTCTAGACCTAGAGTTTCCAAGGTGCACAGTCAAATCCTTGACTTCCAGATCATCAACGCTAATTCTCCTCATTCATCCTTCTGTTTTGTAAGGCCCCTCCCCTGGCTGTTTCAAAAGCTTAACACCAGACAAGTAAGGATGAAATACGAACCAAATGCTGTTTGGAATCTATGAGTTCACTGTATAAACTAGACTGTTGGTGGAGGTACCGTATATAAGTGCAAATGTCCAGAATGCTGGCTGAGTGTCCCTGGCAAGCCTGGGGCTCTGAAATCATTTGAACAAAAGACTTAACAAGTGAAGAATCCAGCATCTCACCCAGCTCCACGTCCTGATCATCAGTAAGCACAAGGATAATGTTGGGTCGAATGTTTTTTCGTTCCTGCTGTATCCGTCCTCTGAACCTCGGGGATCTGACAGTTGAACATAGGCTTCCCAGCAATTCTGTGCCCAGGACAGCCAGCACCAGAGCACAGCAAGAATACTTCATTGTATTTGGTCCAATGTCTCAAAACTGACAAAATGTCTCACTCTCCTGAGTTCTGGCAGTCTGGGTAGTGAAGAGAAAAAAGAGAGAGGGAGAGGCTAAAATGAAATCCAAACCCCAAACACAGTTACAGAAAAAAGGGCTACAAATAAGTCAGACCTGGCACATAAACTGGCAGTGAGCTGCTCATGAGTCAGAAGTAGCAAACCTCACAAGCATTGGATCTTTTTTTTTTTTTAAGCACTTGATTATTTTGCAAATTCACTTTTGTCTTTTATTCTTGGTCCAACTTTTCCTATTTCAATTCGTTGCCAAAGTGTAATTTCCAGCACAGAGCTCAAACGTAAAAGCTTTCTGACAAGAGCTAATACCTTGAATTAGGTATCCTGGTTGAATAATCAATTTCTAGACTCAGAGGTATTCAGAATATCTGCAGATGGAGTCCTAGAAGGGGGAGGGAAAAAAATACAAAGGAAACATCAATCAAGGGTTTTTAAACAGATTTTTGATTTGAAGTCGTCTCTTGAAACAGTACAAGATATGTGTATATACTTTACAGTTTTTTTTTTTTTCTTCTGTTCTCCAAAGGAACAGGAGGAAACATGCAAAACTGCTAATAAATGACTCAGATAATATCTCCGTTTCCTAATCAGCTCCATAAAATGTGGTAAGCATATCATCCCTGCTCACCCTGTAGCAGTACTTTAAACATCCCCAACAAAACTCATGATTGATGAGGAAGACTCATCGTGCCTGAGAAACCACAGTGCATAGGTGTGTGTCTGCATATGGGAAGGGCTGGCGTGGGGGGGCAGGTAGGGGGAGCATTAACTCACCTGCACACGATACTGAGTAACTATCAAGCAGAATGAACCACAAAGCTGTCATTTGTCATCTGTATTATGTCACTCATTACCCAGGAGAGTCCTTTCTGCTGACAAAGACTTCATAGTGGGTGCATGGGAGAACCGCCTATTCCAGCCCCCGAAAAGCTCCTAACTGTCTCCCATCAATCACCAGGAGAAAAAGGTGCTTCCTCCGGGCAAGGCTAGTCGCTTTGTCCAGCCCGGTTCCTCGGCTCTCGAGCTGGCGCCCAAGTGGACTGAGCCCCCCTTTGAGTGTCAGTCACTAGCCTTACTGTTGTCAAGACCAGGTTTGGCGCGGCTAGCACAGGGGTTTGGCTTTGCTGCAGCAGATCTAAACCTGCAAAGCAAGAAGACTGATTGGCTGTGAGGCTGGAGGTTACTTCCACATTAGGAAGTAAATAAATGACATCCAGAGGGGGAGTGCAATAAAGGAGAGTTTTGAAAGGGTTGAAAAAATGCCCCTCTCACTTTGGAACTCCAATCTGCAGAAAGCTCTTATGTTGGACTTTTGAAAGATAGCAAAGGGGTCATTAAAAACAAAAAGAAACAAATAAACAAAAAACCCACCCCATCTTCTCTGGTATGTCAGGAGGGAACCTCTTTATGGGGAATTTAGGTTGCTGTAAAATTAATTAGATAGCAGTCTGCTTCATCAGCCACTCTGTCCCCACACACCTGAGGATCTGTATTTTGATCTGCAACAATAAACTGGCATCAGATAAATACGCATAACTAATCAGGCATAAGCAGCACAGAGCAGGAGAAAAGGGGCTCCATCATTCATTCATCTCCGTGCTCTAAATTCTGGAGGGTGATGTGGGAGAGAAAGAAGAAAGAACAAAGAATGTGTACTGTTTACCCTTGCCATGCACATTATACAAAGACGCACACATACCCCTATTATTTTAAAACTTTATGAGCTGTTTTGTAAACAGTTTTAATGCTTTTCACTTTGCAGCCTGTAATTACACTGTGTGTGTGTGTGTGTGTGTGTGTGTGTGTGAGAGAGAGAGAGAGAGAGAGAGAGAGAGAGAGAGAGAGAGAGAGAGAGAGAGGGACCCAACATTCAACAAGAAATATCCTTTAAATAAAAATCTAGTGTCCTGGCTAGCTACATTATCTTCAGAGTAACAAAGAAGACAATTCCAACTGATCTTGTAGTTCTAGGGAGTATGATTCTGGTTTTGTTTTTTGTTTTGGTACTGGGGATTAAACCCAGGGGTCCTTAACCACTGAGCCACATCCCCAGCCATATTTTTTTTTTTTTTTTTTTTGAGATAGCGTCTCTAAGCTGCTTCCGACCTCTCTAAATTGCTGAGGCTGGCCTTAAACTTTTAAACTTATGATCTTCCTGCCTCAGCCTCCTGAGCCATTAGAATTACAGGCATGTGCTACCATACCTGGCATCATTTTTTCTGTTTGTTTGTTTTTTGTTTTGTGATGCTGGGGATTGAACCCAGGGTCTTGTGCATGGGAGGCAAGCACTCTACCAACTGAGCTATATCCCCAACCCTGATTCTGGGTCTTTTTCCTTAAAAACTCAGGTTATTCCAGTGATTGGTGTGTGTGCTGAACACTGAGAGCCTGCAATTATTCTGCACTGACTGGTTTCCGTGCATTTGTTTTCAGTCATGAGAAAATTGATACAAGCACCAAAGACAGGAAAATAAAAGAAATAATTTGTCAAACAATGGCTTGTTTTCCACAAAGTGTGATCAGGCCTAATGGTTAAATGAAGACATTTCTTAGAGGATTGGTCCTTCAAGCCCCACATTGTTGCCCACCTCTCAAAGCCTGAAAGGGTGTGTGAAGCATCACCTAGAGTATCAACACCACTGTACCGACATGGAAAGGACAGGTTTTCACCACACCAGAGGAAATGGTGGCACTAAGCCATCAGCCACACATGAAACGGAAAGTTCTTGACAATTAAGATCCTGATAACATTCCCTGGCACCCAATCAACACCACTAGTCATTCTTTATCTTATTTCCTTTACTTCTTCCTTTAGGAAAAAGAAAATTAGCTTTAAGGGCACCTTGCATAAACTACATCAGAAATCATTTCTCAATAGAGAAAGGAAAACAAAGTAGATGTAACTTTTCCCTGTTTAGGACCTTTCATCCTGATGAACTAAAACGTGCAGGAGAGACATATATATATATTCTGCTTCAGCATCTTTTTTTTTAACTTAAAAATCTGTGTTTTAATCAACTAATAACAACTGTTCATTTTATGGGGCACCATGATGTGCTGTTTTGACGTATTTGCATTATGGAATGATTGCATCAAGCAAATGAACATACCCCACAGCTCACATATTTATGTTTTCATAGTAAGAATATTCTCTTAGTCATTTTGAAAACTTCAATACATTCTTAATAACTGTGGTCTCCTTGCTATGCAATAGATCTTGAAAATTTATTCCTTCTGTCTGATCAGAACTTTGCACCCTTTGCCTCCATCCACAGTAGACTACCAATTCATGGAATTCATATGTAAAATCATGTAGATTGAGTGGTAGAAAAACTGAACATTTGGACGTGTCTGGTTGATTCTTTGTTCCATCTCCTTTGCCTAAAACACAGCAAACACACCATCCTAAACACACTGCACACAGGGCTGAGATGTAGCACAGTGGGCAGAGTGTTTGCCTAGCATGTGCAAGGCCCTGGGTTCAATCCCCAGCCCGGTTGGGGGGTGGGGGTGGGGGTGGGGAATAAAAACCCTACACACAGAAAATTCTTTATTCAAAAATGACCTTTTAGAAACTGTCATCCTCTCACTGCTTGGTTTCCAGCTCCAGAAGGAAAAGAAATAAAGACAGAAAACAAAACAAAACAAAAAAACCCCTGACAGACAAAACGCAGGACTTGACAGAGGAGACAAGGTTGCGATGTTTGAATTGGATACTTTGTGGTGGACAACAAATGTCCTTAGAGACTAACAATTTGTCTTGAGAAATAGTAGGAAATGAGAGAAATGGGGGGGAAAAAAAGAGGCTTTCTCACACATGGAAAGTGAGTTTGAAGAACGATGTCGTATTCACCAATTAGGACCAGAATATAAATTGCCTTTTCTGTAGGCTAGAAAATGAAAATCCCAATTATAGTTATGGTCATTGGTGTGGAGAGTTCACAGGATTTTGTTGAGGGCAGCTAACCCTGGTTATACATGTGGCATTATATGTTTTAAGTCATAAATAAAAGAAGTGGGGGGGGACTTGCAAGATTTCAAGTCAATTGAAAAGTTTAGTTCATATAGGTTTGTCTAGCAGTACCCCAAACTGAACTGAAGCCTTCGTCTTCCCATTGGTGGAAGGTGACTCTGGCTTCATCAAGCCCCCTTTGAGTGGCAGTTGGTGCTGAGATCTTTGTAATGTTTTGAACAACCAATAAAAAAAAAAAGAAAAGAAAAGAAAGGGGATGATGGCTACACTGGGGTGTAGCTCAGTGGTAGAGCATTTACCTGGCATGCACAAAGCTCTGCCCTCTATCCCCAGCACAGCAAAATAAATAAATTTTAAAACAATGACAGGTAATTAAATAAGTTAAAATAAAGGAGATGGTGGCCAATATGCCCACAGAACCCTGCTTTTCTCCATAGCGGCTGTTTTCAGTGAGTTGAGGACTTCTGGGTGGGGGTGCCCAAGAAGCCTGAGATCCTTCTGTGAGATCCACAAAGTCAGAACATTTTTTTTATGTGAATACTGACATGTGATTAGTTTTTTTCACTTTGTTGAAATTTTCACTGATGATCTAAGAACAATGAGAAAACGGCTTTTGGTCTTGGAGGTTTCACACATCATTTAAAATAAAACGCCAGCTTCTCTTCAGGTGAAGCTATAAAAGGATTCATGTTATTAAACCTTGACCTTGAGTACACAACCTTTTCTTCTTAATGTTCTGTCTGATGAGATGGGGGCTACACGTGAAGCCACTTGTTGTTTTTGGAAGTAGATGGTTGTCTTGAGGAAGAGCTTATGGGTTCCTGAGCTACAAACTCAACTAGCCATACATTTCTTTATGGGATGCCATTTCTTATTTAAAAGAGTCGATTAGACTTGGCTATTTGGCAGACATTTTCTCATATAATGAATGAAATGAAAAAAAAAATACTAGAAAGACTCTCAGTCAACTGGAAAGTTTAGTTCACACAGGTTTGTCTAATAGTACCTCAAACTAAACTGAATGAAATGAGCCTATCAGTTTTATCGATGACAGAAATCTAGCTTCTAGCTTTCAAGGTGAAATCAGAAGTTTAGAAAATGCATATCTACCACTGTGAACTTAGCACCCCAAATGTAAAACTTCTGATGGCACTGGTGGTGATAACAACAAATGTTAGTTTTTGATATTGTCAACACTTACAATGCCTACATAATTCAGTGAACTGATATTTCCCAAATGTCTGCAATGCAAAAAAATCAGACATGAGTTGAAAAATAGATTCATTCCAAGTTTAAGATGACCACTGGGTTTTAAGGGAAAATTATGTAGACTTCATTGATGTGGTTTCAGATTTCTTACTACAACTAACCTTTAAGAAATTACTGCTTGTCAAGGTTTGTTGTAATAT